ATAACCTATAATACATAGGTCTTGATAGCCATAATAAACTCTTGTCAACTGGCTTATGTATGTACTACACCATTGTTTTTGGAGTCCTGGTGTGTGGGTTAATGCGCTGGACTCCAGAGTCACTTTGAACTGCAATATCAGCAGTTCAAGCTCCCCAGCTGCTCCTGGGAAACCCTAGACAGGGTCGCTATGGGTCGGAACCGACTCAACAGCACTTAACAACAACATACCATTATTTTAATGTGAACTTTCCCTACTTAAAAACAACTCTTTGTAAAATAAAAAGTTTGCTATAGAGCAGTATATGTTTTGACTCTTAAGCAGCAGTAGCCAATTTCATGTGTCACGTGTCTCTTAAGTGTTGTAGCATTCTCTGTTTAATTCTTACTAAAATGTTAATGTGAAGTGCATCATGATTCCCAAATGTAGTAAAACCAGCGCTAATGATAACACCAGCAAGAGGCAAAGAAGAAGTATAGATTTGGAAGTAAAGCAAAAGGTTATTAACGCAAAGGTAGAAAATCAGTGAATGCTATTGCTAGTTATTTAGTTAGGCACCTTCGGACATCAGTCAAATCACATAACATCCTATTTTACATAATGTATCGTGAACATTAAGTGATACATGACTGTACTAATAAATTGACAGATTGACTCACATATGCAAGAGCTCTTAGACATGTCCACATAAAAAGAACAAAACTTTAACTTTTAATTTCTGATAGTAGGTGTGTAGAATTAAATGGTTTTCTTGATGCTTCTAACAGCATTTTTAGAAGGTGATAATAGTAGTCCTTACTCTGTGCCAAACAAGGTCAGTATTTCGAATACAACAGCTGTTCATGGGAGAAAGATGAGGCTTTAGCTCCTATAAAGATTTATCATCTCAATTGCTATGAGTTGGAACTGACTCCACGGCATACAATTACCACCACCACCACTAATCTGTGCCAGACACTGTTCTAAGCATTTTATAAATAAAAACACATATAGTACTCACAATAACCCAAATAGGTAAGTATGTCTATCCTATTCTTTCTCTGATTTTGTCTGAGTTTTTCCACAGTATAATTTAATATCAATCATAATTCAAATAGGATTGATTTGAATGGAGGTTACAAAATTGCTGAGGGCTATGATCTCAGAATCACCTTAGGTTTTAATTACCCATAACACACAAAATCAGTTTGTTTTTAATCATTTCTACATGTTAATGAACAGTATATTTGAATTGTGTATATTTTTCTTTTCTTTTACATTTAAGACTAGAAGAACTGCATAATATTCACTCATTTGATGAAGAGTTTTTTGGCAATATACTTACTATCATGAGTTTACAAACATTAGGCACAGTCCTATTTATCCTAGAGAGGTAACATAGTGGTGGTTGTGTGCCATCAAGTCAGTCCCAACTCATAGAGACTCTGTATAGGGTTTCTGAGGCTATAAATCTGTTCAGGAGCAGAAATCCTCATCTTTTTCCCTCGGAGTAGCTGGTGGATTTGAATCGCTGACCTTGTAGTTAGCAGCCCAATGCATAACCTACTACACTACCAGGACTCCTTAATAGTAAGACATTGCTGTTGAGTTTGTTCTGACTCATAGTAACCCTGTATAGAATTTCCAAGGAACAGCTGGTGGGTTTGAATAGCCAATCTTATGCTTACCCTACAGCACCACATCAGTATTCCAGTAAGAAGGTAGATTGTCATTTAAACAGCAGTTGTGCCCGATGCTGTCCAGTGTATGAATTTACTTAGTCCAGCGAGTCCAAGTTTAGCAGCACACTGAATCACCTGGAGAACTTTAAAAGACTCTGATGCCTGTATCTTACACCCAGAGATTTGGATTTAATTGGTCTTGAGTATCGCTTGGGCATCCTGATTCCTGAAAGCTCCTCCAGATTATGCAAATGTACAACTAAAGTTAAAAGCTACTGATTTATACATTCGTGAATATATATATGGAGGTGATAACTACATCTTAACTGCTAAACCACTGAGAATCCTGACTCAGCTAAGTTGATGTAAAACCTTAACTATCACATATGGCTAGAAAAGGCATCTCAAGTAATTCCCTGTACCGTAATATCCCATGGGCACCTAAAGGTCAATGGGCCTAAATGTGAATGCCTATCTGCTTATCAAGCCTGATTCTCTATCTCACTGATTGACAGTGCCATCCATCCAGTCTATCAAGCCAAACATGTGTAAGTCATCCTAGATTCTCTCAATGCATAGCATGTATTGTCACTTAGTGGTTTTCACCTCCAAAATATTTTACTCAGTCCGGATATGGCACTGTAGGATAAAGCACTGGACCACAAGGTTGGTTTGAAACACAAGTTTGGCAGTTCAAACCTACCACTTGCTCCTCAGAAACCCTACATAGGGTCACTAGAGTCTGAACTGGCTCAACAGCACTTAACAACAATAGCCCATATCTTATTAGTTTATTTTCATTTCTAAATAGCTTCTAAATGTGTTCCCTTCTCTCTAGTCTCACTCCTAGAGTCCTCAGTCAGACACTTACTATCTGTCCTTATGTGCTACAGTGGCCTCCTTACTGATAGTTTGCCACCTGCTCTCCCCCATCCAGTCACGATATTTCTAAATCAGTTCTATAATCTGGTCCTTTCTAGCTTAGCTACCAGCTGTTTTGAGGGAGAAAGATGAGGCTTTCTGCTCCAATAAAGATTTACAGCCTTGGAAACCTTATACAGGGTTGCTTTGAGTCAGAACAGACTCCGTAGCGCATAACCATAACCACCACCACGACCAATACACCACAGAAAGGAAAGGGTAGAATTACTTCTAGTATACAAAGAGAGACATAAAACCTGTAAAAAGAGATGTTCATGAAATTAAGTCATATGCACATGTTAGCATGTAGCATGTTATGTGTAAAAATCATCATGGAGGAGGAAAAGGAGGTTAAGAACTAAGGTCCTACAGTAGAAAATGTCAAAAAAATCTTAACATGATAGATGTTGTTGTTAAGTGCCAACAAGTCAATTCCGACTCATAGTGATCCTGTATAGGGTTTCCAAAGAGCTGCTGGTGAGCTTGAAACCACCAACCTTGCGGTTCAAGCCAACCTTGCAGTCCAGTGCATTAACCCAGAGCACCACACCAGGACTCCAGAATGATATGTGGTGGTGGCTGTAGTGTGCCGTGGAGTCAGTTCTGACTCATAGTGATCCTCCATAAGGTTTCCGAGGCTGTAAATCTTTACAGGACCAAAATGCCTCGTCTTTTTCCTGCAGAATGGCTGGTAGTTTCGAACTGCCGAACTTGAGGTTAGCAGCCCAACTGGTAACCACTATGCAACCAGAGCTCATTAGAATGATATCTAAGACCCATTCATATGTTCTTCTCCTGCAGTGCAGTAAATTACTTCATGTGGCTCTTCTACCCATAGTCATTGTTTCTCCCACCAAATTACATTTTTTCTTGATGGGTCTGGGTAAGAGAAGGAAGAAGAGTAAGATGCTGAAAGGATGATATGATTCAGCTGTGAGTGTTAACAGGGTTAATTGTGATTGTAAAAACTTGGAACTCTAACATGGGTATAAAATGAGCCATCGCAGAAGTAGGAGGAGGGGGTGTCACTGCTATCAAGAAGAAGTGCCAGGAATGAAGCATGTCCTTTAGACCCAAGATCCCGACCCATTAAACCTTCTGAACCCAGAATACTGAAGGAGTAACAATAGAATCAAGAGTCCGAACACCAGACAGCAGTGGGCTTCCCAACCCATTGAGCAAGTAAAGCTGAGTGCCTTTGGGCCAGAGGCTCCCTTTTGGAGTGGGGTACCTTCAGGCACTTAACTGGCCAGCTAGGTTGGAGCTAGAGCCAGAGCTGAGCACTTTCAGGTTGAGGCTTATAGCAGGAGTAGAGTACCCTTTGGGCATTTACTGTTGTTAAGTGCCATCAAGTGAGTTTCAACTCATATAGCCACCCTGTATAGGGTTTCTGAGAAGGGGGTGAGTTTTGACCTTGCAGTTCAAATTGACCTTGTGATCCGGTGCTTATACTGCAGCGCCACACCAGAACTTGGGGCATTTATTGTCAGTGCTGGTATGGTGCTATAGGATGAACACTGGACTGCAAACCACAAGGTTGACAGTTCAGACCCACCAGCTGCTCCTCAGAAACCCTGTACAGGGTCTTTGGGAGTTGCAATCAACTTGACAGTACTTACCAACAACAGCAACAGAGCTTTGTAACACTGCTAAAGCAGGGCAGAGACCAAGTTCCTGAGGCTGAAAGGCTAAGGACCAGAGAGAGGCTTGCCTGCTGGCATGATTGAGAAGAAGCTGTCCTGCCTGACAGAACAGTGCCCTAAACTTTTCTAATCCTGAACTGTAACTGTTAGCTTTCCTACTAAACCCCGTAACTGTAAGTATGATGTCTTAGTTCAGTGTAGCCATTGCAATGAAACGTCTAACCAGCTGAGTAGACTGTTGGGGTGAGGGATTATTGGTTTTCAGAATTGGTAAGGACGGTTGGAGGGTAGGAATTGGCCTTGGACTAATGGTGGGGTTTGATTTTTCTTCCCTGCTTATGAAGTCAGTGGAGGTTATATATCTGCCCTCCCTTCCCCTCTAGTCTTCTTACAACTCAAAAACACTGCACTACTAATGTTATTGTTAAGTACCATGGAGGCGGTTCTAGCTCAAAGCGACCCTGTGTAGCGTTTCCAAGAAGCAGCTGGTGAATTTGAACCAACGACCTTGTGGTTCAAACTGATTTTGTGATCTAGTGCATTAACCCACAGCACCACACTTTGACATCACCAAAATATGATAACAACCTTAAGCTTCTATAGCTTTATATGTACATACTTTCTCTGTAACTGGACACCCCATCTCCTATGTAGTGTCAATTCAAGCTTGCCTTCCTCCTCTATTGAGATTTCCTTCACTTGGCACAGTGTATCTTTCTCTTCGTTTTATTTGTGCACAAACATGCATATACATAATTAGCGCTATTACAGGGATCCTTGGCAGTACAATGGTTAAAATGCTTGACTGCTAATTGGAAGGTCAGCAGTTCAAACCAATCAGTGACTGCCAGAAAAGACCAGGTGATTTTTTTTTTTTTTTTAATGCACTTGATTTAGTGAGGATGGGGTGGGTGTAGGCAGAAGTGTGCAGGGGGTCTACAGCACAGTTGGGACTTGTTGTTGTAAAGTACCGTGGAGTCAGTTCTGACTCATAATGACCCTACACAGGGTTTCCAAGGCTGTAAATCTTGACGGGAGCAGACCGCCTGCGGAACCACTGGTAGTTTCGAACTGCCGACCTTGATTGAGGTTAGCAGCCCAATTCGTAACCACTACACTACCAGAGCTCCTTAGTTGGGACTTAGAGAGAGACATTTTAGCAGCTCTGGATTAGAAAATTTAGAGTTGGGATTTCTCTGGTAACTTCTGTTACTCTTCTAGAAGTGAACTTGACTTAGGAGCCCCTGGTGAGGTTGGTTCAGAGACATGATGGGATGGGATATCCCTGAAAGTTCAAGAGGTCCCTTCACAGCAGTGGCAGTGGCAGCAGCTCCATCTTGTTCACAAAAAAAGCAGCTCTCTACATTGGGTCCTCAGAAGACCTGATGATCTTTTCCTGTAAAAGTTACAGCCTAGGAATCCCTGCGGGGGAGTTTAGCCTGGTCATATATGATCGCTTGGAGTCTGAACTGACTCACTGGCAAACATTGTTTTATGTAACTATGTCTAGCTTCCAATTTTTTAGAGCACAGAAAATGTATTCCCATGTGTATTCCTAGCAGAAACACATTATTTGTTGAACAAATAAATGATTGACTGAATAAAAACAAGTCCATGCCCCCCAAAACTCTGAAGGAGACAGACATATGTTTGTTATTATTACACTGTTTTTTAAAAAAATAATCGTCAATGCAGATGATGGCATAACAGAGGTGTGTCTAGAGTGTGGTAGGCAAATAAGAGGAAGATCATTGCAATCTGGGATTCAGGGACAGTTGAGGAGTTACCAAAGTGAGGGGTTATGAGTACAGAGAGTATAAGGCAATTGTTGTTGTTGTGTGCCATGGAGTCAGTTCTGACTCAAAGCGACCCTACACAGGGTTTCTGAGGCTGTAAATCTTTATGGAAGCAGACCGCCTTATCTTTCTCTCACGGAACTGCTGGTAGTTTCGAACTGCTGACCTTGCGGCTCACAGCCCAATTCGTACCAATATGCTACCAGAGCTTCTTGTAAGGCAATTAGGATATGCTAAATATTTCACTGAAGAGCTTACTTAGGTGACGCAGTAATGGGAGATGGTGAAGTCTAGTGCAGGCCTGTGCTTTCTGACTTCAGTGTGCATGGGCTGGTGAGGAAGCCACAACTGGCACAGGAAATGCAAAGAGAGAAGGAACAGCTTTGATTTAGGAAGAGGAAACTACCTTTCTGTTCCTTATACTTATGTAGGTAGTTGATTTATATCTTACTAATCATGAATTTTCATTAAAAATGCTCATCATAAACATCTAGTAACTTTACATTTGTATGCAGACTGATGGAGAAGTGGTCAGTAGAACCAGTTTATCTGATTCTAGCTGTACATTCTCCCTAGAGAAATAAAAATTCATGAGGCACGTTTATTCTGTATCAATACTTTTCTGGATTCGCCAGAATCATTTTTCAAATCGCATTTTAAACTGTTGTTATTGTTAAGTGCTGTTGAGTCAGTTCCAACTCAAGTGACCCTGTATAGGGTTTCCGAGGAGTGATTGGTGAGCTTGAACTGCTGACCTTGAGGTTCAAACTGACTTTGTAGCCCAGCACATTAACCCGCAGCACCACACCAGGACACTGAAGTTGATCTCTATGTGTTTCTAAGTTGCTAAGACCAAAAATTGGAATATGGAATGTAGCCAACTCTATGAAATAAGATTCTTAGTATGACAACTAAATTCATCAAATGTACCTTTTTGAGTATTTGTTGTTGTGAAGTGCCGTCAAGTTGATTCCAACCCATAGCAACCCTGTATAGGGTTTCCAAGGAGCAGCTGGTAAGCTTGAACCACCAACCTTGCAGTTCAAACATCTTTGTAGTCTGGCGCATTAACCCACAGCGCCACACCAGAACTCCTTTTTGAGTATAGCAAGTGATTTCTTATATAATTGTGTGGTCATAATTGAAAGTTTTACTAGGTAATATCACATTCAGATTTTAAAAAATAGAGACATTTCTTTTTGCCTTCCAATTTACAGCTACACAGAGTTGTTGTTGTTGTTAAGTGCCATCGAGTCGGTTCCGACCCATAGCGACCCTGTAACAGGGTTTCCGAGGGTGTAAATCTTTACGGGAGTAGAAAGCCTTATCTTTCTCCCGCGGAGCAGCTGGTAGTTTCGAACCGCTGACCTTATGGTTCACAGCCCGATTCGTAACCACTACGCTACCAGAGCTCCTAGGATTTGAGAATAATAATAAAAAAAAAAAAACATAATATATCTTTTAGAATACTAACTACTTAAACTTGTCTACTAATGCCATTTAGATTTCCTGAATTAAACAAGATATTTCAAAGTGCCAAGCATACACAGTATTGTTAACGAAATGACTCAAGTAAATTTTTTGGTTTAACAAAACCAAACAAAGTAACATAGAAAATTTTTAAAGCAGCATGAAAAAAAAAAAATCCTAGCATTATCTGTTGTTGCTGTTAGGTGCCGTCGGATTGGTTCTGACCCATGCACAGCAGAAGGCAACACGCCTGGTCCTGGTCCATCCTTATCATCATTGCTGGTTTTGAACCCCTTGTTGCAGCATAATCTGAAAGAAAAAAAAAAAATTGTAGTTTTCCACCTCTTGAGCATTCATTTATTTGAGCTGAAATTGTTGCTGCAATAAGTATAGAAATTGAAAATGTTTGTGTTCACTGTGAACAGGCATCATGGGTACAGAATACAAGCATCATAGTTTCACAGTGTGCTAAAAACTCCCAGTGACTTATAAACAGAGGCAGAGTTGTGTAGCGTCCTATTTGGTACTGTAAAAAGAAGCTACCAACAACAGAAAAACATGGCTGAGTCTAGAAGCCTGATGAAAAATATATATTCTGAGCCATCAAAATTGTTAGAATGATATAAATTCATCTTGTGTGAGAACATTTTCTCCATGTAAACTGTCTTTTTCAGATTTAAAACACATCTATATTCATGAAGACTGACTGCATAAAAACCATAATATGCCAAGAAAGAAAAAAAGATCCAGTTGAAATGTTTCACTCTGGACAGCTGGTGAAAGTGTGTGCCCCAATGGTTCGCTATTCCAAGTAAGTACTGTAGACCTCCCCACCACATGGACCCTGTCCAATGCCCAGCTTTGGAATCCTGACGCTGGCTTGAGTCCTGGTGCAGCCACTTGCCTGGTGTGCGTACAACTGTGAGTAAGACCTTTATCCTCTCCAAGCTTCACTTTGCACATCTGTAAAAATGGTGGTGGTTGTAACTCCCACTATAAGGATATACCAAACCACTAACCTTGCAGTTATCAGTCCAGTGCTTATCCTATAGCGCCACATATAGTGTATGTTACATGGATATAAACCTTCACATAGAAGCTCTTGTGTGCATCCCAGTCTTCATTTCTCTGGAGTAAAGAAGGCACAATGTAGACACAATGGCTGGGTCATATGGGAACTAGAATGTCTAGGGTTTTAGTTATATTTAGCAGGTGGTGGTGGTTATGTGTCTTCAAGTCAGTTTTGACTCACAGTGACCCTATATAGCGTTTCCAAGGCTGGGAATCTTTACAGGAGAAGAAACCCTCCTTTTCTCCCATGAAGAGGCTGGTAATTTCAAACTGCAGTTAGCAGCCCAACTCACAGTCCATGGCAGTACCAAGGCTCCTTGTATTTAGTGGGAGGAATAAGTATATTCCATTCTTTCAAAGTCTGAACACTCCCTTAAGAAGTATTTAATAATGAACTAAATTAAACTTAGCAGTGCATCTGAGTATGGTGTTTTCTAAATTCTAATTTATGTTTTATATGCTCACAGGCTGGCTTTTAGGACTCTAGTAAGAAAATACAACTGTGATCTGTGTTATACACCAATGATAGTTGCTGCTGATTTTGTCCGATCTGTAAAAGCAAGGGACAGTGAATTCACCACAAACCAAGGTATGTGAAACCCTGACTTTGTAAAACTTTTAAAAATGGAAAAGAAAAAAAAAAAAACCTCTCCACTATCTTATTTAAATCAAAGAGGCCACAATTCAGAGGTTTTATTTCAAAGTCTTTTAGTGTACAGTTCTTTATCCAGATACAATGTCACTTATTTTCCTTTTCAAAATAGAAGTGAACCATGCAGTATGTTTTCACTGGGTGCCTTGTGGATGAAACAGATCGGAGTGTAACACCAGCCTTTGTTAGGGCTCCCATCCCTTCAGTGAACTGTTAAGATAGATTATAGCCCATACCCACCTGTTTAAAATGAAAATCAAATCCTATCTCTTTCGTGCTTTAAATTCTTCTTGGACTTCTCGTGGCTTAAAGCAATAGTTCTCAAAGTATGATTCCCAGATCTGCAGCATCACAGTCATCTGGAAGTGTGTTACAAATATTTGGGGCTCCACCCCAGACCCACTGAATCAGAAACTCTGGGGTGTGGTCCAGAAATCTGTTTCAACAAATTGCCCAGATAATTCTGAGCTTGTTAAAGATTAAGAACCATGGACCTAAAAAAGATTTCAGTTCCTGAGGACACAAAGAAAGTCCTTCATGAGGCTGGATCTCTGAATACATTTTCTAGAGCCTTATCTTCCCACAGACCACTCGATTTATTCTTCAGAAATATGAAATGACCTTACACCCTGAACATGCCCTGTTCTCTCACATCTCTTTCTAGAGTGTCCTGTTCTATCATGCCTGTCCCCCAGATGCTGTTCTCTCTGGCAAACTCACTTTCCTGATCGCCTTTCTCTCTTGTCCTCCCTCTAAAGTCCTGGCTCTGCGTTGTTTACATAATCATATTGTATTATAATTCCTTCTCTGTATTTCTCCCACTAGGCTATGGGATTTTTGAGAACTGTGGTGGTGGTGGTGGTTATGTGATGTGGAGTCAGTTCTGACTCATAGTGACCCTGCATAGAGTTTCCGAGGCTGTAAATCTTTACAGAAGTAGAAAGCCTTATCTTTCTCCCACGGAGCAGCTGGTAGTTTCAAACTACTGACTGTGAGATTAGCAGCCCAACTCGTAACCATTGCTACCAGAGCACCTTTGAGAGCTGTAGCTATTTCTTATTACTGTATGTCCTCAGCACCTAGCACAGTGTTGAGAATGTATTAGACTAATAAATAGTTATTGAAATATTTTAACACTCCTGAGTTACAAAGGGGGAAAGCACCCCACGTCCTCAGGAAGAAAAAGCAGATTCTATCCTGTCATAATTCTGGAAATCAATGCTTGCCATAAGTATCCTGAATCAAGATGATGCCCAAAAATCTGCTTTGTAACTGACACCACATAAATCTTATACAAAAATAGCAAGAAATACTTTAAGAAACATTAAAATACATTTATACAGAGTTTAAAACATCTAACCTAAAAAAGAAAAGCTGTTCTTTAAAGTCTCAGAAAGCGCTGATATTTGACTATGCTAAGATTTAAAACTTTACTTTATGAAACAAAAGACTACATATATATACTTAGAGACAAAGAAACAACTGGAGAAAAGATAATAGATACAGATTGTTGTTGTTAAGCACAGTCGAGTTGGTTCTAACTTGTAGCATCTGGTAGGTTTGAACTGACAAACTTGAGGTTAGCAGTCCAGTGTTTATCTTACAGTGCCATATCAGGACCCCTAATTATTTTACATAAACATTTACTTTTTTTTTTTTTTTTAAGGAACTTAGAGCCCACAATTAAAATGCACAGATGTTGGACCTACATTATAGGATAGGCTGTAAGGAAACAGTAACTTTCATCCATATTGATGTGTATCTATATGGGTAACCTTTGTGGAAGGTAATGTTATAATTATCAAAAAGTTCAATCACAACAGTGCATACTCACAAAAGCATACATGGAATAGCAATCCCCACTGTGACATTGTTTCAATCTAGAGATTGAATAGTATGTATAGCATAGCAGGTGATGCATCGGACTGCTAACTGCAAGATCAACAGTTCAGATTCACTAGCTGCTTCACAGGAGAAAGATGAAACTTTCTGTTCTTATAAAGATTTACAGCCCCGGAAACCCTTATACAGGGTCGCTATAAGTCAAGAGGGACTCCAGGCACTTAATAGCAACAACGCATACAGTAGAATACAAGCCACCAAAAAGAGTAAAATAGGTCTGAGTACATCTCTCAGATTCATTAAGAAAAGATCAGTAGGCACAGGAGTATATAGATAATGTTCACATTGGTTTAAATTTTACAAGTGTATGCATAAAATGGAAAGATCAGTAAGCTAAATCTCACCTTTTAGGAGACATTTTATTTGTCAGGAGTGTGAGAAAGCTTTTACTTTTATCACGTTATGCATCATGTAATTTTGTACTAATATAAATTGCTTTTCATTTTAAATGTTTAAAATTATTTCAGTGCCATCTTATTTGAACAGATGGTTCTTAGGCTAAAAATAGTTGTTTTATCCTGCACTGATGTGAGAGTTGGTATCATTTTTGCATGTGTGTGTAACTGTTTTGTTTTCTTTTGTTGGTGTTTTATCAGGTGATTGCCCATTGATTGTTCAGTTTGCTGCTAATGATGCAAGACTTTTGTCTGATGCTGCTCACATAGTCTGTCCTTATGCAAATGGAATAGACATTAACTGTGGTTGCCCTCAGAGGTAAAGCTCTTAGAAGTTGGAAAAAATAAAAAAAAACAAAAAAACAAATTAGTAAGAAATCTATATGAACATGGTCGTTTTCCAAAACTTAAAATGCCAGTAAGAGTTAAAGTGCCAGGGCTCCAAATAAGAAAAAGGACAAATTATTAGAAACATAGCTGCAAAGGTCTTTTCTAATTGTTGGATCAGTATATAGACCGTTGGAATATTTTGTCTCACTTTTCTGCTAGAAGTTTTATGTGTGGATCTGCCTTGAACCTCATCCACAAGTATTTTTGTAAGCATCTAATGTTTATACCAATCCTAAAATGTTTATCTTTCCTGCCATTTCAGATAATCCTGCTCTAAAAACTCTTGATTCTTTGATTTGGGAGATCACCACATATTTTCTCCTAATTAATTTTCTTTAAACAATGCTTTCTTATGATAGCCGGGTTTTTTTCTATACCACAGTTAATTAGTTGGGCTTAAGTAACTGGGTGTTGAAAGAATGTACTTAATTTGACAATAATATCCCTACCTGCCTGATACTGTGCTAGGTTATCTGTCAATGATTTTAAATGTCCTTAAAAGATAAAATCAAGATTTATAAGCACAACATAATCCAAATTAGATGAGAAGTATTTGTGTACTCATTAGAAGAGTTAATACACTGAAAGCCAAAATGTCTTTTTATTCTTGAGACTATTAAAAGCTCTTGTTAAGTATAATAAACATCAAAGTTGGAATTAAGAAAATCTGAAGTAATTGCAGGTAATTGCAAATACTTAAATCTATTTTGGTTGGATGAATTTTAATTTTCTCACTTGCCAATGAAAACACTTCTGTAAGTACTTTTTGATCTGGGAACATGCTTTCTTAATCTCATATTGATCCACTTCAAAATATTGGATCTTTCCATTTTAAAATTAAGTCTGCTTCCATTTCAGATTACTGAATAGAAAAATAGATTCACTTACATTTCAATGCGTCCATTTAGACTTTTATATTCCAGCAATTTACAAATCCTGTTTCATGTTTTTGTTGTTTTTTGCTTTATAAAGGTGGGCAATGGCAGAAGGTTATGGGGCTTGCTTAATAAATAAGCCAGAGCTTATTCGAGATATGGTGAAACAAGTAAGAAATCAAGTGGAAAACCCCAGATTTTCAATATCTATTAAAATAAGGTAAAGACAACATTTTAACCTATTGACAAGATAGTCAAATACAGCTAGTCCCTGGTTTATGAACAAGATCCATCCCTAACTATGTCTTTAAGTCAAATTTGTAGGTAAGTCAAAACAGGAGTATATGGTTCTGATTTAGCCTTTTGCAACAAGCCTTTTCATAGGTTTAAAAACTTCATGTGCAACAACTGTTTCAAAGTTAAACAGTCAAGGGCAGGTTCGGAACTTGGGGCTGCCTTTACTTAGAAAACATGAAAATATTTTGTCCAGGTTATAGGAGCTAAATTAATTGGTAACAGGTGTATGAATATGTTGAAATAAAGACATTTAGTAAATAAAAATATGGTCAATTTTTATTTATAATCCAGACGACTTCCTTTTCTTTTTCTTTTTTAGCAACTATTAAAATGATCACTTTATTATTAAAAACTTTTCCTTAAAGAAGCCCTCAGTTTTTCCATGTACTGTTTAATTAATACTAAGAAATATTCCTGGCACTGAGTAGAATCTATGCTCTTAACTTTCACAATGAAAATAAAACATGCCAGGAATTAGCTTTTTGGTGACAGGTTAAAAACATTCCAAGTATTCTGTACTCCCTTTTAGGAGCTGGGATACGCACAACAAATATTAGGATTCAGAACATCAATTTCATTGCCATTGAGTCAATCCAGACACATACTAGCTCTGAGAACTACCTCATAGGGTTTCAAAGCTATACATTTACAGAAGCAGACTGCCACATCTTTCTCCTTTGGAGCAGGTGGTGGGCTCAGATACTTTACAGCAAAACAGGTAAACCACTATGCTACCAGGGCTCAGATACTAGAATACCAACCCCATACTCACTGCTGTTGAGTTGATTCTGACTCACAGTGAGCCTAGTTAGAGTTTTCAAGACTGTAAAATCTGTACAGCCTCATCTTTCTCCCCAGGAGTGGCTGGTGGGTTTGAACCCACATGGTTAGCAGCCCAACACCCATCCCACAGCACCACCAGGGCTATTAGGATTATTGTTAAATGCCATCAATTCACTTCCATCTCATAGTAGCCCTGTATAGAGTTTCTGAGGAGTGGCTGGTGGGTTTGAATTATGGACCTTTTGATTAGCAGTTCAGTGCTTATCCTATAGCACCACAACTGTGACAGTACTGTAGTATACTCACCCGGGTCGAGCACTAGATTCAATGAAATGTATGTGTCATCCTGGTGCTAATAGTGAAATGCCTAAGTTTGAGGTTATAGGTGTAACTGCTCCCGTGAAGATTTACAGCCTCAGAAACCCTGTACAGGGTTGCTATGAGTTGGAACTGACTCCACAACACAACTACCACCATCACCACCACCACTCCTTGAACAAAACCTGGTAAAGGCATGAACTGATAATGCTAAGTGCTGTCAAGTTGGTTTCCAAAGAGTGGCTGCTGGGTTTGAATTGCCCACCTTTCCGTTAACAGCTCGGTGCTTATTCGATAGCTCCATACCAGGACTCCGTATAGCAAAGCTAACTAAAAAATGTATTTGAGAAAATAGCATTTTATTTAGTTTCTTGATTGTAGCCATCAGATTTGTGTGCTGTAAACAGCCAAGATATGTGTACAGTTTTGTAATTCTAGGATTCATGATGACCTTGCGAGAACTGTAGATCTTTGTCGAAAGGCTGAAACGACAGGAGTTTCCTGGATTACAGTGCATGGAAGAACTGTTGAAGAAAGACACCAGCCAGTCCACTATGACGCCATTAAAATCATTAAAGAAAATATGTCTATACCTGTAATTGCTAATGGAGACATCAGAACCTTAAAAGAAGCAGAAAATGTGAGGGAAATTACTGGGACAAATGGTAAGACGTATGAATGTAGGGTTTTGTTTTGGGGTGTGTGTTATTTGTCTTTTAAATAGAATGTTAGCGGGATTTTCATTATTTTTCTTTAATATTGAGTCATATTTTCCCATTGTACTGACTTAAGCTAACCAACTTATTAAATGATATTAACTCTTCTATTTGGAACAGTACACCACCGCCCGTAAAAATATAAGCAACAGTTAATATTGAGTGGATTCCAATTTATGACAACCCCATGTGTGTTAGAGTAGAACTGTGCTCCATAGGATTTTTAATGGATGAGTTTTGTTGGAAGTAGGTTTACAGACTTTTCTTCTGAGGCTCCTATAGATCAACTCAAACCATCAACCTTTTGGTTATCAGCCAATCAAGTTACCATTTGTAGTACCCAGAGACTCCTTAGAAACAGATTTTTAATGGGATGAATTAAAGTCGGTTACTTTTCTGCTGATTAAAGATCCAAGGATTGAGCAAAGATCCAAAATAGAGCACCTATAGTAGAAATGAGAGTTAATCAACTCAAGAAGTGTTTCTAAGACCCAAAGGATCCCCAGAAACAGAGATTCATTGTCCTCTTAACCTATTAGCATGCCAAACCCTATGGTATCTGTCAATATCTGGGATTGCACAGATAAATTGAACTTTACACAAACTTAGTTTACTCTAAAAGAAGCTAAAGACTAATTGTTTAATGTTTGTTGTTGTTGAGTGCCGTCGAGTCAGGTCCAATTCATAGCAACCCTGTATGGAGTTTCCAAGGAGCTGCTGGTAAACTTGAACTGACAACCTTGAAGTTCAATCTGAACTTGTGGTCCAGTGCATCATCCTACAGTGCCCACCAGAACTCCATTGTTTAATGTTGTTTTGTTGTTTAGTGCCCTCGAGTCAGTTCTGACTCATAGTGACCTTGTAGTTCAGTGCTTATCCTACAGCGGAACACCAGGACTCCATTGTATAATGTGGTGGTGGTGGTGGTAGTGTGCCATGGAGACAGTTCTTACTCATAGTGACCCTGCATAGGGTTCCCAAGACTGTAAATCTTTACAGGAGCAGAAAGCCTCATCCTTCTGTGGAACTGCTTGCTGGTAGTTTTGAACTATTGACCCTGAAGTTAGTAGCCCAACTCTTAACCACTACACTACCAGAGCTCCTTAGTGTTTAATGTAGAAATATTTTAAGAAAGAATTCTTATAAGTGCATTTGAAGCACAATGGCTCTGTAGAAAAAGCACTGGACTGCTAACCACAAGGTCAACAGTTTGAACCCCATCAGCTGCTTCTCAGGAAAATGGTGAGGCTTTCTGTTCCCATAAAGATTTACAGCCACAAAAACCCTATACAGGCTCATGTGATTCAGAACTGACATTTGAGGGCATTTAGCAACATCAGTACATTGAAACTTTCTTGGTTTATAAAAAGTACAAAAACTGTTTTGTAATTGAAGATCCTATGGAGCAGTTAGTTCTACACTGCACACATGTGGTTGCCATGAATCAGAAGCCACTAAAAGTCTATAAACAACACAATTGAGTTCATGTGTTTTCTATATATTGTTTGTGTCATAGAGTTTACCTCATAACTTGAGGTTCTTCATGTATGGACAAATATAGTGTGCTTTAATTTGTAGGTGTGATGGTTGCAAGAGGACTTCTAGCAAACCCAGCTATGTTTGCTGGATATGAGGAAACCCCACTGAAATGCATCTGGGACTGGGTTGACATTGCTCTTGAACTCGGAACTCCTTATATGTGTTTCCATCAGCATTTAATGTACATGATGGAAAAGATAACTTCAAAGCAGGAAAAAAGAGTATTTAATGCTTTGTCAAGCACATCAGCCGTGTTAGATTACCTTACAGACCATTATGGCTGTTGACCAACCTTTCTAAATTATTTTAATAAATATTTTACACTTACAATGAACCCATACAATCTTGTTTTTTCTTTATATCAGTGACTCTCCAGCTTTAGAATACAAGTCATCCCCTTGTGAGCATTTTAAAAACTCAGCCATAGACCACAGTCTCAGGAGACATGTAGGTCAACAAAGACAATGTTCTACATCCCACTTCAATGATTAACAACTGTGGTTGGAAAAGCTTCGGAGTAACCATGTAAGATGCAACTATTATTGATCTTTTCATCTTGAGCAAAGAAGAGTGCAACGAATTAGTCCAAAGGAAACAGTCTCCACTGTCCAGGTACTAGTACCAACTGCTCTGGTCAGCATCACAAAAGAAAGCCCTGGACCAAGGGAGGGAAAAAAAAAAGACCAGATTTACTGGTCTAATAGAGTTTAATGGAACCCCTTATATACCCTTCAAATGAGGAACCAGCCCACCTCCATAGATTACCTTTCCCCAAAACAAAAGACCTATAAAGGGAATGTTAACTCCAGGGAGGAATACATGCCTCAGAACAATCAGCCATAGAGACAAATGGGGCAGCATTTGCCCAAAAACAAAGCTCAGAAGGCAAGCAGTGGCAGGAAAGAAGGGGTAATACACTGAGGGGATTGCAACCAGTGACATAAAACAGTGTATACAGATTGATGAATAGAAAACTAATTTGCTCTGAACACTTTCATCCAAGCTACAATATAGTTTTAAAATTCCCTCAGGATGATCTGGGTGGGAGACCCAGAAATTTACAAGATTAATAGTCCCCAGATGGTTGAAACATCCTGAGGCCAAACTGATAAACCCAGCTCTGAATCCTGTTAAAGCTTCACTGCTCCCAAAGAAACTACACTGTCATTAAGTTGACTCTGACTCATAATGGCCTTATAGGACAGAAAAGAACTACTCCATAGGGTTTCCCAGACTATAGATCTTTATGAGAACAGGCAGCCTCATCTTTCTCCCAGGGAGTGACTGGTGGGTTTGAACTGCCAACCTTTTAGCAACCCAACACTTAATTCACCATGCCACCAGAGCTCCTTGAATCCTATTATAGATTGGAGAAAATATAGGAACTTTTTCATAAAGGAATCATATTTTTAACCTTTTAAATAAAATCTTTTAATGAGAAAATATGACTCATGTGGTATCTAAATTAACAAGCAATATGTTTTTAATGAAAATAAATGCAGGGAAGTGGTAGAACAAATGCCAATATCCATATAAAATGAAAAGGAACAGACATTCTGTTACAGAATTGAAATCAAGGCTTAGATTAGAAAATCAAATTGGCACTCCCTAATTCAGTTGCTTGTTGGAAAAGAGGGTGGTGCAGGAGCAGGTAGTGTTTCCTTCCGTTGTGCATACCGTGGATTGTATTACCAGCATGCAAACTGTTATGAGACAAGTATGAACTTGGGTATTAAATGAGTCAATCTTAACATAAACACTGTGCTGTCAGATTTTTTCTTAGGCTCATTCACCGGCCTTTCACTTTTCAAGTGATGCATGTCTTTCAAATGGAAATAGTGTATAAACAAATGAACTGTGGTCACAGCTCAGTCATTTTTATATTTGTAAATTAACTCAAATTGTATAAAAGTTGTAAGTACAACAGCATTATCAGAATAAAGATACATGGTATTTTTAAGGAAACAGTGTGGAAGGGCAACAAGTTCTAACATATTTAGTTTTTTTTTTTTAATTCTTTATGATTTATGTTGAGTCATTTTTTTATATGTGTAATCAAATACATTTGTGATAAACTGAAGAAAGTCTCTTTTAATGTTTTTATAATCTTGTAATTTCTTTATTTCAATATGTAATGTTCTCAAAATAGTTTCCAGGAGCTATTTGATTAGTTCCTTCCTGATATTGTCAATAGTAACAATATTGACTTAATAATTTGAATGTGTACCCCAAATTTTAAGGAGCTCTGGTAGCGTAGTTACGAATCGGGCTGCAAACCGCAAGGTCAGCAGTTCGAAACTACCAGCTGTTCCGCGGGAGAAAGATGAGGCTTTCTGCTCCCGTAAAGATTTACAGCCTTGGAAACCCTGTACAGGGTCGCTATGTGTACGGCACACAACAACAACAACAACAAAGGTTTACAGCCTTGGAAACCCTGTACAGGGTCGCTATTAGTTGAACAGAGACTCCACGGCACATAACAACAACAACCCCAAAGTTTAAGACCTGGAAGATGGGAATTCAAAACACCCTCCAGTGCCTTAGTCTTCTTTTCTGGTCCCCAAAACTCTCCCTTAAAGTTTTACGAGGCTCTGTTTTAGTGTTGGAGCTCTGGTGTGGTACTGTAGGATAATGCACTGGACAGCACGGTCAGTTTGAACGGCAAGGTTGACAAGATTGGCAGTTCAAACTCAACCAGCCCCTCCTCGGAAACCCTATACAGAGTCGGAACAAACCCGACAGCACTTAACAAAGTTCATGGACCTATTCGCAGTCAATGTGCAAGAACAAAAACTGTCAGCCTTGTAAAAATACCGAATCAACTACATTCCCGAAACAAAATGCTGCACCACCACGCAACCTGCCCCTTCTAGTTATATATAGCGTCTTTTGGAACAGTACCATTTCTACCTGAAGAGAGGGAAGATGGCACAAGGAAGAGGAAAGGCGGAGTCCTGGTGACGCTGTCTAGGTTACGCATTGACCATAAGGTCGATTTGAACCGCAAGATAGAGGTTCAAGCTCACTAGTCGTTCCTCTAAAACCCTATACGGGGTCGCTGTGGTCGAAACCAACTCCACGGCACTTAACAACAACATCCAACCCTTGGAGTCCTAGAGTGCGGTGTAGGATAAGCATTGGATGACTAACTACAAAGTCAGTGGTTCATACCCACCCTCCGCTCCTCGCAAACCCTATAGAGGATGGCTATGAGTCAGAATCGGAACCGACTCAACAGCCCTTACAATATCGAACCCTTGGGCCCCTGAGCCGTTCCTCCACCGACCAAACCTACACAGCCTTCAAGTCGATTCTGACCCTCACTCAGAAAACATCGGCTAACCCCACCCAAACCGTAGTTTATTAGAAAATTAATAACCACTCTCTTAAAGAGGTTGCGCTAGGATGGAAAAGTCTGAGTCATCCTCCGACTCCACCACCAATTACAAAACAATTACTGCGGGAGAACAGGGTCGCGCCGCCGGCGACCACAGTCGGGACTGGCGGAGGCGGGGAAGGGGCAGTCCGCGGCGCGAGGCGGCCCTGCCCCTCCCCCGCCTCGCGCCGCGGCGTCTGACGTTCCGCGCGTCGGCCTCGGCGGAGCAGCGCGGGCAGCGGGGCCGGCTCGGAACGGGGTAAGGCTGGGCGAGACACCGGGCGGCGGGCCCACGAGGCGGCAGAGAGCCGGCCTGGTTCCGCCGGCTGACGGGTAGCGTCCCTCTCCTGCGCCAGTGAACTACCAACAGTTGGTCCTGCCGCAACGCCGAAGCCGAAGGCCCTGGGGGCGGAAGGGTCCCTAGACGCCGGGCGTTAGGCGTTAGGCTGCGGCCGCCGCGGAGCTCCTGGCAGGTTCACACCGCTGGTGGGATGGGTGAAGAGAGGCCTCGGGGCCCACCCTAACCCTTCCCTGCCCGCCGGGGTTGACGCCAGGCGCCTCTTGGGTGGGGACGGTGGGGCATGGTGAGTCCCCAGGACAAAAACTGCATTCCGAGTACCTTTAACCCACTTTCCTTGTAAAGCAGCACAGTAAACAACTGTTTCTTTCTTCAGGTGTGAAGAGAAAAAAATGACACTCCAGTGGGTGGCAGTTGCAACCTTTCTTTATGCTGAAATAGGACTCATTTTAATCTTCTGTCTCCCTTTTATTCCTCCTCAGAGGTAGGAAAGCTTCAACTCCTTAAAAATAGTTTGATTCGCTCCTTTAGACTGCTAGTGTGATAAGGAAAAAGTTTTCTCAAGATTGAAAAATGTTTTGACAGCTGATTGTATAAAAGGTGCTCTTAAAAAATAATTAGCAAAGAAATTAGGTAATATATAATGGCAATATTAAAACTCAATTTAGATCAAAATTTTTATTATATAAGCAAGTGATTAACTTTTTTCTCCTTCTTTTGGTCCTGTTGATTGAAGATTTAACAAAGCAGTGGTTATACGTTTAACACCTAGTTTAACACCTATCTGGTCACTCTTGTTTTATTGCCCTAAATAAAACTGAACTACATATAATGGATAAATTATGATTATAGTACAGCATGGTTATAAAAAATGTTACACTGGGGACAGAGAACTGACAGCTTAGAAACTTAATGATTATTAGTTTGGGTGTCGTGTAATGAAGAAATATTTTCATTAATGTTTAATAATACTTTTACTATTTTTTATCCCACACAGAATTAATGAATGTGTATGAGAAATATCAGAATCATGAATTACTGTTAGTTCCTTGCTAAAGGATATTTGCCTCTATTACCCCTGGAGTAATCCATTTATTTATTAGTTCAATTTTAAATCCAAAAGCTTAATAGGCTGAATGGTGAAATATACACGTAATAAAAATGTTGCAAGACATTTGTACATTTTCACAGCATAAAGGAAAGTCTTTCATAAATGAGATCCTCAAGATAACCTCCTAAAGTTATCTTTAGGAAAGTTTTACTTTAGCTTAAAGTCCAGATAATCTTTCATAACTCTTGACTTGATTCTTAAACTAACCTAGATTTCTGTTCATTTCTGTCCTCATCTGTCAACTATACCATCACTTTTTCCCTCATCTTCTGAAGGAAGATATTGAATCATAATGAGGATAGGTCTTTAGAGATTATTTTATCCAGCCTACTCATTTTAGAAATCACATTACTGAAACTCAGAGAAGGGTACTACCCTGAATAAAGTCACCTGACTGGTCAGTGACAGATTCCAGACAAGAATCTAGGATTCCTGCTTCTCACTAATTGTATTTAAAGTCCTTTAAGACATTTGGTTTTACGTATTGTTTGTTTTATTTATTTGCTTTACTAGTTATTTGTTAATATTTGTAACAATAGAACTTGACATTCAAGAGAAAGAAAGTTGTAATTTATGAACATTTGAATTATAAATAAGGGTTAAGAGTTTACAAAACATCTTTGGTTGATTGGTCTTTTCTCCATCAAAAATCAAACCCAGTTTGATTCCACTCATAGGGACCCATTATGGGGTTTTTGAGACTGTAAATCTTCACAGGAGCAGAGAACCTCATCTTTCTCTCACAGACCAGGTAGTGGGTTTGAACTGCCAACCTCATTGTTAGCAGACTAACACATAACCCACAGCACCACGTGGGTTCCTTTTTCTCCATCAAAGGGACCCAAAAATGATGGCTGAGACTTTTTTTCCTGCAAAAATAAAATATTTTTACCTATTCTGATCAAGTAACTATTTGTGATCAAGTAACTATTTGATAGATACGTATGAATTGTATATACCATGTATACCTTGTATACAAAATAAGAAAATTTATATTGTATACATTCATATTTAGAATATTTCCTTTTTACTTTTTATATGTGTTTCATCATTATTTGAGGGGGGAAAAATAGGTCTTAGTTTTCATTTGAACTTGACTCTATTCTTTTCTCATATAATCCAGTGATTAAAAGTAAAAGGCCTGGGTTTGTAACCCAACTAACAGGCTACTAACAGTGGCCTTGGGAAAGTTACCCTCTCTGCACCAGTTTCCCTATCTGCAAAATACTAGTATCTACCTCCTATGGTAGGAGTCCTGGTGTGGTGCTGTGGGTTAATGCGCCAGACTGCAAAACCATTTGAACTGCAAGGTCGGTGGTTCAAACTCACCAGCTGCTCCTCGGAAACCCTATACAGGGTCGCTATGGGTCAGAATCGACTCGATGGCACTTAACAACAACCTCCTATGTTAGTTGTGAGGCTTGAACATTCTAAAATATGAGAAGGAGCTTAGAACAATAATATAGTAAGGATGCAGTAATTATTAGCCCATCACTGAATTGATCTTACTATAAACTGTTGGTTATTCTTGTGAGGGAGTTTCTTTTGTGTTTCACTGGTCCTTGAAAAAATAAGTGAATTTTCACGTAGATCAAGGCGTTATACTTACATTCTATTTTTAAAGATAAAAGCTTATAGAATTTGAATAGCTTCCTGTACAGAATGCTCAGAATTGGAAGAATAGACACAAAAGGAACTGCATTGTCTGTATTAATCTCTCCCTACCAACTTCAAGATATCACTGAGAATTGATTTCAAAACATGATGTGCCATTGAATCAATTCCAACTCATAGCAACCCTATATAGGATTACCACCTCTGGTAGCGTAGTGGTTACGAATCGGGCTGCGAACCTTAAGGTCAGCGGTTCGAAACTACCAGCCGCTCTGCGGGAGAAAGATGAGGCTTTCTACTCCCGTAAAGATTTACACCCCTTGGAAACCCTGTACTGGGTCGCTATGGGTTGGAACCGACTCGATGGCACTTAACAACAACAACAACAACAAACCTTTACAAGTGCAGAAAGCCTCCTCTTTCTCCTGCTGAGTGGCTGGTAGATTCAAACTGCTGACCTTGTAGTTAGCAGCCTAACTCGTAACCAACTACACTACCAGAGCTCCTAATATAGAGCAGATAATTAGGCCTTCAACCCCTGAAATGTTGCTAGTAGTTATATCAGTAGTGGTGGTGGTGGTTATGTGCCATAGAGTCGGTGCCGACTCATAGCGACCCCGTACAGGGTTTCCGAGGCTGTAAATCTTTACGGGAGTAGAACGCCTCATCTTTCTCCCACGGAACCGCTGGTAGTTTCGAACTGCTGACCTTGCGGTTCGCAGCCCGATTCATAACCACTGCGCTACCAAAGATCCTTAGTTACATCAGTAGATCTTTGTTATTTTTTAGTTACCATTACTCTGATTAGGGAAACTATATAAAGTGGTAGCTTCTATCAACAATATTTTAATATAAATATATTTTTTTAAAGTATTAACTCTGTTTACTTTTAGAATTACTTCCCCCTAAGAATCTGTACGCTACCAGAGGATAACCACATTTATAATTAAATTTGGAAGACTTCTCATTTATTTCATGAGACATTTTTATGTAGAAATGTAAAAATTAAATTACTGAAACTCTATTCACTTGTTACACAACCAAAATGTTAATCCATTATTTGAAAAGTATTACAAAACCTTCATTTGTTTTTTTGACACCTGTTGTAATTGATTGCTTTACAGATGGCAGAAGATATTTTCATTTCATGTCTGGGGTAAAATTGCAACTTTATGGAACAAAGCTTTCCTTACTATTATTGTCCTTTTGATTGTTCTGTTTCTAGGTAAGTACTAGAGTCTTCCTTTAAATAAGTTAACTGTAGGTTTTCTTTATGAACTCATTGGTTTATATTAATAAAGTTGATACTGCTATTGATAGTTGACTTTTCATATATTGATAGTATTTAGAGGAGATACTGATATTGATCCACAGATGAGAACTTTACTGTCCTTTATGGACAAACACAAATTTAATCAGAGTACAGTGCTTCCTGCCTCTTTAGGTTAATACAGATAGTTTCTGAGTATCTTATGAAGGCTATAGAAACTTTCTCCTCAGTAAAAGCGTATATCCACATGCACGCAAAATGATGAAGTCAGTCACAGGACTTGGATACTCACCCACAGAGTACAGGTTGAGGACTGTTGGGCTCATGGATAAGTGCAGGAGATGTGCACTTCACCTTCAGAGTCTCAACTTTTCCTTTTCAAAATGGGGTAATATCTAATTCACTGTGTATTAAGGTTTAAATGCAGTACACCTTCTCCTCACTTACTAATATGGTTAGGTTCCAAAGACTGTGTTGCTATGCAAAACAAAGCAGCATTAGGCAAAAATGAAGGATGACCACATCAAGTCACAAAAGGGAGAATTAGAGCATAATTACATAATTGCCTAATGACATTATTACAAAACTACCAAGCTGCAAGAATAGGACACAGACAAATTGATACATAACCTTAATCATCATGTTGTTGTTGTTATGTGCCATGGAGTCGGTTCCAACTCATAGCAACCCTGTATAGGGTTTCCGAGGCTGTAAATCTTTACAGGAGCAGAAAGCCTCATTTTCTTCCACAGAACAGTGGTAGTTTCGAACTGCTGACCTAGCGATTCACAGCCCGATTTGCAAACACTATGCTACCAGAGCACCTTAATCATCATATCTAGTATTATATTACTCTTACCTCACACCTCAGCATTAGTTAATGCAAACGTGTGTCATGAATGCAAAATATAGTAGATTTTTGACTATTGTTGTAAATGCAAAATGTCAGGTAACCATAAGTACCGTGGAGTCAGTTCCAACTCATAGTGACCCTGCACAGGGTTTCCGAGGCTATAAATCTTTATGGAAGCAGAAAGCCTCATCTTTCTCCTTCAGAACAGCTGGTAGTTTCAAACTGCCAACCTCAAGGTAACCAGCCCAATTTGTAACCACTATGCTACCACAGCTCCTTGTCAGGTAATGAGATGGTCTGAAAGTGAGTAAAGCCAGTAATGTATTAAAATGCATGACCCAGTTCTCAGAGTTACTAGATATAATGTCAGTAGCCACAGTATTTTTTTTTTTTTAATAACTGAATTCAGAGAAATTAAATGAGTTTCTAAGACCATGCAGCTACTTTTTGACACCTCTGCTTTTGATGGACATTCCAGAGTATGCTTTCCCTCAGAAGTCCCTCACAGTTGTTATGTTGTGAGTTAAATAAGTTTTACAGGAGCCAATTTGAGAACATACTCACCTGGGACCATTACATTGGTTTATGGAAAAATTACTCTGTGTTCCAAACCACTAATCTCTGAAATGAAATCCTCTTTGTGAAACTGGGAATAACTGGTGCAAGAGGGTATGCGTATTGTGAAAGATAGGAATGGAATTACATTATGATATGTTCAGGTATTTGTGCATCTCATGGTACATTATTGTTAATGTAGCCATGTAAGAAGTCACAATAAAAGAGTAAAGAACAGTTAGCAAACAGGTCTCAACTTTGCCACCAGTTCATTCCATTTTTCTGAGTTTGGTTTATTCCTCTGTAAAATAAAGGGTGGTGGGGGTTGGTGTACTGTGGTGTGAATTCAGACTCATCTTGACCCTGCTAGGGCTTCTGAGGCTGTAAATCCTTACAGGAGCAGAAATCCTCATCTTTGTCACGCAGAACAACTGGTAGTTTCAAACTGCTGACTTTGAGGTTAGCAGCCCAACTCATAACCACTATGCTACCAGAGCTCCTTAAAATAAAGGGAAAGAAGAAAATAATTCTGAAGACTTCACTAGCTCTAGAATAGTGCTGTGATCTTGTAAGTTATCAGGAGTCTGCTGAAAGCTGTTGCATATCCATTTAAGGAAAAATTGCTGTAGTCAAGATTTTTTTGGTTACAGTAACAAACCAACTTGAGCTGGCTTAAGCCAAGGGAAAGGAGGACGCCAAATTCCAGAGAGGGACTAGAATAGAAACTGAAGTGTATTTTTTTCATGTCTCTTCATTTCTCTTTGTGTCTACTTTATTCTTTTTATCTTCGTAGACTCTGATACTCTATCCCCACCAGCTATGAAATGTTATAGCACCATTTACAAGGGCGAAATAACCTTCGCTGGACCCCAATTCCACATAACATTTATAAAATATATTACAGCAATAGCACAAAGGATAGGAAGTAAATTGAAGTATACTAATGCAGAGTTCTACCATTTTATGTTAAGTGACATAATAAAAGTAGACTATGATAAGTTATATAATATAATCAATAGAGCAACCACTAAAAAATAGACACTAGAGCTATGAACACCATGTTGTTAGGTGCCATCAAATTGGTTCCAACTCAGAGAAACCCTATGCACAACAGAAGGGATGCTGCTCAGTCCAGTGCCATCCTCAAAACTATGATGTTTGAGCTCAGAGTTGCTGCCACTGTGTCAAATATACCTCACTGAGGAGTTTCCTCTTTTTCAGTGATCTTCAACTTTACCAAACATGATGTCCTTCTCCAAGGCCTGGAGCCTCCCAACAACATGTCCAAAGTATGAGAGATGAAGTCTTGCCATCCTCATTTCTAACAACATTCTGGCTGTACTTCTTTCAAGACAGATTTGTTGATTCTTTGGGTAGTCCATGGTACTCAGAATTATTCATATGTATCAGTTCTTTTCCAGTCTTCCTTATTCTGTGTCCAACTTTCACATGCATATGAAATGATTGAAAATATCATGGCTTGGGACAGACACACCTTAGTCCACAAACTGACATTTTTACTCTTGAACACTTTAAAGAGAATAGGCTTTGTGCCACAGATTTGACTCATGTTGGATTTCTTGATTACTGCTTCCATGAGTGTTAATGGTGGATCCAAGCAAAATGAAGCCTTTGACAACTTCAATCTTTTCTCTCTTTATCATGATGTTATTTATTGGTCCAGTTGTGAGGATTTTTTGTTTTCTTTACCTTGCATACTAAAAACTGTAGTCTTTGATCTTCATCAGTAAATAATTCAAGTCCTCTTCACTTCCAACAAGCAAGGTTGTATAATCTGCAATTAGCAGGTTGTGACTAATTCTTTCTCCCATCCTGATGCCATGTTCTTCTTCAAATAATCCAGTTTCTCAGATTATTTGTTCAGCATACAGATTGAAAAAAGGAAAAAAGTAAACATAGGGACATTTTTAGAACATTTACTCAACAGTACAGAATATATGTTTTATATATAATATTTATTATATTCTGTTTATCAAGTTTACACTATGTTTTATTGCCCAGAGACAGTAAAACAAGTCTCACTAAATAGGAAGGATTGGAAACATCCGACTCCATTAAATAGAAATCAATGACAGGTATCTGGAAACCTTGTAAAAAACGGCATTGGAATTATCTGATCTGTTAACTTCACCAAGGGGAGAAAGAATCACCATATGCATCAGCCCAAGGCTGATTTCTGTGGAGCAAACATGCTTCCACCTTTCAATCTTTTTACCATTTCTTATATCAACCATTCTTTTCACTGTACTCTCTGCTTCTCTGCTGGGTACAATAATTTGTTGCAGTGGTTACACAGAACTCACAGGCATTATTCACTATTTTGGAGGTTTTTTAGGGTGGTTAAAGAGTCCTGGTGTGGCGCTGTGGGTTAATACGCTGGATTGCAAAGTCGGTTTGAATTGCAAGGTTGGCAGTTCAAGCTCACCAGCTACTCCTTGGAAACCCTATACAGGGGTTACTATGGGTCAGAATCTACTTGAAGGCATTTAGCAACAGAACATACAAGAACCCTGTGACTCATCCTGTACTAAATATAGATGCTAATGAACTGAAATCTAGTTTCCACTTGGTCTCCTATATCTGAGATCTCAATCAGACCTGAAAACACTAAAGGAGCAACTATCCGAACATTTCCAGTTACAGGCGCCATCTGTTTGCTGGTGGGGGTAGTGTATACCAACCAAGTCATATCCCATTTTTTAAATTTATTTTAAAATTTTTTTATTGTGCATTGTGTGACTATTTCCAGGCAAGACCATCAGCTTTACATTCAACAAATTCTACACTTTGTTTCATCCAAATGATTACAATCCACTTCCTATATCCTCCCTGTGCCTTCGCCTTTACATCCAATATTTCACTAATTAACAAAGGAAAATAATTTTTTTTTCTCTTTTTAACGTTTTATTGTGAATTGAGTTAAGGTTTACAGAGTAGATCAGTTTATATTCAATAAATCATACACTTTGTTTCGTCTCAGTGATTACAATCTTTTCACTGTAATATCACTCAACTTACCCACTTCCTCTTTGTGTTTACAGTCTCCGAAGCCCTACACAGGGATGCTATGAGACAGAACCGAGGATGTCACCAGGTTGGTTCCGACTCATAGCGACCCTGCATAAGGCCTCTGAGACTGCAGATCTTTACGGGAGCAGAAAGTCTCATGCCTCTCCCACAGAGCTACTAGTAGATTCGAACTACTGACCTTTTGGTCAAGAGCTCAGCTCTTAATCCACTGTGCTACCAGGGCTCCATATGTATGTTGTTGTTGCTAAGTGTTGTCGTATATAGTTTCTTTTGCTAAGTGCTATGTATATATATATATATATATATATATATATATATATATATATCAGGAGTCCTGGTGTTGTGCTGCAGGACAGTGTGGTAGACTACAAGGTCAGTTTGAGCCAATGCTTATCCTTCAGTGCCACATCAGTCTGTTGCTTATCCCACAGTGCCACACCAGGGCTAAAACATTTATATGGTGGTGATGGTTGTGTGCCATGGAGTCTGTTCTGAC